ACAGGCAGCTCCCAATGGATGTATAGAGTGCAATCAAATGGGGCGCCACACCAAACCCATATAAAAAAAGAAAGAAAAGGGAACCAGCTCTTTACAGTGTAAAGGCACTCACCCTACTAAAAATAGATTCAATCCCACTTAGTGAAAACCATAAAACACATAAACCAAGTGCTAATGTCATTAAATAATGATCTACATAAACAAAATATTATCCGTTGAATAAATCAGCATAAAACATAAACAAAGAAATATCCATGAATAAATCACAGTCCATCCACTGATTTCTCATCCACTTGCGTGCCCTACACCTGTGTGAATCCCACTTGCTGGTTCACCACCAGGTACATTCAAATTGAATGCCTATTATAATAATTCATGGGTGTCACAGGAGGAAGCAGACGCCACCAGGATCTTCTTTTTCTAATAAACCAGTATGACAATACGCACACTCAAGAAACAAAGGTGCTTCCCATAGTGTAGCAAATGTTATTATATATGCAGAAGTTATAACATAAACGTACACTCACATTTAAGTCCTCAAGCACACTCAACGTTTTTGCAGCGGCTGTTTTTGGCTTTTGGTGTTTTTTTTCTACAGCCAGCAAACTCCGCAGCATGTTATCCTATGTGTCTATGCATACACTGGGATTTATTTACTAAAGTTGGAGAGTGCAAAATCAGACTCACTTCTGCATAGAAACCAATCAGCTTCTAACCTCAGCTTGTTCAATTAAGGTTTGGCAATAAAATCTGGAATCTGATTGGTTTCTGTGCAGAAGTGAGCCTGACTTTGCACTCTCCAGCTTTAGTAAATAAACCCCATAGGATTTAATCAGCGTTTTTTGGCAGGGGCAATTTTTGGCTGGTAAAAAACCCCAGAACTAGTGGGTTTCTAGAGGAGTTTTTTACCTGTAAAAACGCTTTAACACTGAAAAATGCAGTAAAACGCAGCAAACCAGCATTTTGGGGCTTTTTTTAGCAAACAAATTTTAAATTTTTTGTCTAAAAAAACACAGCTAAATGTGGCTAAACAATAATGCAAAAACGCTAAAAAAGTTGCATTTTTAATGCAACTTTACACAGCTAACACTGCCAGCGTTATTAAAACTCCCAGTGTGCATGGAGCCTAAAGTGCAGCTATCGGCACTTGCACAGCGTGTATTATGAGTAAACCAAGCACTGCAGCTCCGTCAGTTTGAGCCGGCGAGCAATCCACAGACTGCACCTAAGTCGCTGAAAGTGATGTAATCAGGGACCAGACATGACAACAGCCAGGCCTCAATGCATTTTGTGTCATCAGGAAGCTGCCAATGGATACTTGCAATTGGAAGCTTGCATTCATGTGACTGATGTAAGAGCCAATCACAGAGGTCAACCAAACAGAAAGCCTGCCTTCGCCTCCTGGAATTTAGATCATCTTGCGGCGACAAGGGGCTGCGGAAAGAGTGGGAGCGGCTAGCCCAGGCTGTTAGTGTCATGCTGAACAGCAGAGCCAACTGGCTCAGGAATCTGGGTGGATCTCGACATTAAAGTCAGGATCTCTCCAGAGTCTGGACTGGCTCAGTGACATCAGCCGACAGTGGACTTTAGCCCATTGTTGGCTGACAATAGGTCACAGGAGTGCAGAATCAGTGCACTCCTGTGCTCCATAGAAGTATATCCAAAAGAACTTTGGCCATACATCTCGTTTAAACAAAACTTGTGGTATTTGAGACTATGGTGATATCCTTGTAAACATTATTTAAACATTAATTAATGGAATCATTATTTGACTTTACATTTCCTGGTCCTTTAGTCCTGGTTATAAACTTGCCCGTGCCCCCCTAGACAACATTCCCTATGGGTGCACCTTGTTTACCTTCAGTGAAGACACATTCTTCTTCCTGATGTGTCCTGATTTAATGTTTCTTTTCTTCCCAGGCAGAGAATAGGGAATAGTGTGGGAATTTTTACTATCATGTCACAGTGACAGGTGACGTAAAGTGGTCCAACAAGGGCAGATGGCTCCACCATCATTAAATAAACGTGCCATATCTGTAGACATACATATGACACCAGACTGGATCTCTGGTAAGCCTTTAAGTTAATACTTGAACTTACAATGTTATTTTGTATAGATCCTTAATGGAAAATCATTTATTTGACTAAATTATACAAAGGACGGGACGTAAACTGCAAGAAACCTCTTAAAACGGCAGCTTTCTTTTTACGTGGTAAGTTACCTGGCAACTAAACCCCAAGACAAAGGAATGTGAAGGAAGCAGAATTCCTGTGTGTCAATGGCAAACATAAGAAAGACAATGATATCTAGAAAGTTATCTACCTAGAGTCCTGCACTGGGAATAACACCCTGGGAACAAGTTTTCAATTGTGGAAATCTTTTAGAGTTGTGTGTTTATTGATGTGACCTTGGTACTGTAGTTTAAAATATAAAATCTGTGTGATGGAGATTACTCTAGCCTAAGATCTAAGATTTTATTTTCCTGTATCAAAGTCATTCAAGGTTTCAATGTGTGTTTTCATTTTGGTCGCAAATAAACATGGCTCAATCTAAACAAAATGGAGTTGATTTAATAAAGGCAAATAAGTTGTTCACTTTGCAAGGAAAGGGAATTTGCCCCAGATCTTCACTATGCAAAGAATACCCAATCATGTGCAAGGAAAATAAATAAAAAAACAGCATTTTTGCTTGCACGTGGTTGGATGATGGAAGTCAGCAGAGCTTCACCTCATTCGCTAAGCGCTCCCGAAAATTCTCTTGCAAAGTTTAACTTCCATTGCAAACAGAGTTGGGAAGAAAAGAGAGGCGCCCATTTGAGTGTAGTAATAACACTGTATGTAATAGCAAAGGATTAAAAACACTCACAAAGAAAGTAATAAAACAAGCTCATCTGTGTATATGAGAGATGACTATTCCTCAAAATGTCCTGCTTGTGCCACCGGTAGTTAGGGCAATAGCAGCTGGGCTGATGGAGATGGTGAGAGACACTGTAGTGGTCAATCCTGCAGAATGGTAGTGTTGTAGAGCTGATCCAGCGGTGTTTGTGCAGGAATAAGCCTAGTAACCAGCCTGGAACACATGCAGGATGTGACATCACAGGAAGAGGCCAATAGAAGGCGCTAGAGGCTCCAAGCATGTAGCTTGACTGTCCTACGTCTGTGCTCTTCCTCCCCACTGACATTCTGCCTCTTCCTGTGATGTCACATCCTACCACCGGTGGTGCCTGGAGGACCTTTGAGGAATGGTCATCTCTCCTATACACAGATGAGCTTATTTTATTACTTCCTTTGTGAGTGTTTTTAATCCTTTGCTATTATTATTATTATTATACAGTATTTATACAGCGCCAAAAGGTTTGCTCAGCGCTGTACATTATAGTGGGGGGACAGTACATGAGACAGTACAGTAACAAAACAATACACGAGGGGTTCGAGGGCTCTGCTCTTTCAAGCTTACAATCTAAGAGGGAGGGGATAGTGGTACAGGAGGAAGTGGCTGTGGGGGATGGAGTGGTAGGAGGAGTGGAGGAGATCAGCAGTTAGGTGAGGGTGGGGTAGGCTTCCCTGAAGAGATGGGTTTTCAGGGTGCGCCTAAAGGTGAGAAGGGTAGGTGACAGTCTGATGGATTGGGGTAGTGAGTTCCAGAGGATGGGGGAAGTCCTGGAGAAGTTCTGCAGTCAGGCATGGGAGGTGGAGACCAGGGAGCTAGAAAGTAGGAGGTCTTGTGAGGAGCAAAGATTACGGGTTGGGTGGTATTTGGGTATCAGGTCGGTGAGGTAATTTGGGGCAGCGTTATGAATGGCTTTGTATGTCAGTGTTAGTAGTTTGAATTTGATGCGTTGGGCAATCGGGAGCCAGTGGAGGGAATGACAGAGGGGGGTGGCAGAAGAGGAGCGGTTGGTAAGGTGGATGAGTCTGGCCGCTGAGTTCAGGATTGACTGAAGCGGGGATAGTCTGTGATGAGGTAGGCCAGTGAGGAGGGAGTTGCAGTAGTCCAGGCGTGAGATAATGAGGGAGTGAACGAGTTGTTTAGTAGTGTCTGGGGTTAGGAACGTACATATTTTGGAGATGTTACGGAGGTGGAGCCTGCATGAGCTTGCTAGCGATTGGACATGGGGTTGGAAGGACAGGTTTGAATCTAGAGTGACACCTAGGACTTTGGCTTGCGGGGTGGGACTGATGGTGGCGTTGTTGGTCATGATGGATAGGGTGGGGGCGCGGGCTGGGGGGAAAATTAGGAGCTTGGTTTTTGAAAGGTTGAGTTTGAGGAAGTGGAGCGACATCCAGTCTGATATGTCGTTCAGCAGGTGGGTGATACGGGCAGAGACTGAAGGGGTGAGTTGAGGGTTGGAGAGGTAAATTTGCATGTCATCGGCGTAGAGGTGATAGTTGAAGCCGTGGGAGTGTATCAGTTTGCCGAGGGAGGAGGTGTAGATGGAGAAGAGAAGGAGCCCGAGGACAGAGCCTTGGGGGACCTGAACAGAGAGGGGGAGAGAGGGGGAGGTGGTAGCGTTATAGGTAATGCTGAAGGAGCGTTGGGAGAGATAGGAGGAGAGCCAGGAGAGAGCGGAGTCTCTGATGCCGAGGGAGTGTAGTTTATCGAGGAGGAGGGGGTGGTCAACTGTGTCGAAGGCCGTGGAGAGGTCAAGGAGTAAGAGGACTTAGTAGTGGCCATTAGCCTTGGTGGTTAGCAGGTCGTTGGTGAGTTTGAGTAGGACGGTTTCAGTGAAGTGTAGGGGACGGAAGCCAGACTGTAGTGGATCGAGGAGGTTGTTGACAGTGAGGTGGGAGCTTAGGCGATTGTAGATTAAGCGCTCAAGGAGCTTGGAAGTGAATGGCAGCAGGGAGATGGGTCTAAGGTTGTTCAGGTAAGTGGGGTCCAAGGAGGGTTTTTTGAGTAAGGGGGTGATAAAAAAAATATAAAGTAAGAGATGATAAAGGCAATATTGGCATACAAGTACTTTAAAACAGGGTATGTAAAATGCATTGAATCTTTTCAGCACAAAAAGATGGCAGCAGGGGCGCACTGACAACTCATGGGACCCCCGGGCAATAGGGGATCATGGGGCCCCTGTGGCCTTGTCCAAACTCAAAAAAGCCTATGAAAAAGGTACCAGGGGCATCTCATGGGGCCCCCTACTGACCCCGGGCCCTCGGGCAAGTGCCCGAGTTTCCAAATGGTTAGTCCGCCCCTGGATGGCAGCCATCCTTGGAGCAAGCCAGCTCTGTATGCAAGGACAGAAGAAAAGACAGGAGGCGCCCGTCTGAGTGTAGTAATAACACTGTATTTAATAAATTGCATTAAGGAGTTTTAGAAACAGTTCAACACTTTCAGAAAGTAAGATTTATTACTAAAAGGTCAAAAGGGTGCAATAAAAATATTTACAGAAAAAAGATGTAACCAATTTATATATAAATATACAGAGAACAACAGCACAGCAAAGAGGTAACAGAAAGGAGGTTAAAGGGTTAAAGTACTTGCAAATCAGCCTTGGGTTTGCAGATCAAGTTTCAGAGCGAAAGGGCTGTCTCCCAAGTTGGTTCTGATGTTAAAAACGGGAGAATTCTTCAACTTCACTTTCTTAGGTCTGACAGCCCATTTTGTAGTTCCCTAGCAGGGGGTGTCTCTGAAGTCAAGGACCAATGCCCCGTTTAGGGAGGGGAGGTCTGGGCGTAGACCTAAACTAGAGCCAAAATCTTTCATAGCTCATATTTTGGCTCATAACTTTCCCTAGGTACAAGTAACACTCCGCCTGCGGGTAGATTAATATGCAGACGCATTTGAGGAATGATTAGATATTAAATATGAAATTATACACTGAATGGTTCAAGAGATGTAATTTTCTGCTTTCCTAGGTATTCCAGTCAGGGAGTGTGACCTATCAAATTGTTTGTCTTCTCGATATGCTCGGTTTTTCTGTAAGTCTTCATATTCCAAGATATGAGTCATAGGGGAAAAATGGATTTTAAAAATGTTATCTGGTGCTTACTCCTCTGGAAGGTCTTTAAACTCCTGGGAAAGCTTGCGTTATCCTTTACGATGTGCTAGATTGCTTTTTTTTTTAGACAACCAGGCACTTCAGCTCAAAAATGTTTTATAGCTTGGGGCTCCCTGCTGTACTCTGGCCTGCCTGTGACACTTCCAACATCCACACCGACCAGATGTCACTGTGGCTCTCAGAGAGGGAGGGGGAGAATGAGGGGAGACATGGAGAATTCTTAACAAAATGGAGGGCCGCGTCCGTCTCTGGGTGTACGCTTGCTACACCTTCAGTCCCTGTCAGTTCAAACAGCACTGACAGTCTCGCTCCTGGTTTGCCATTGCTCCCATCCTGCAGACCCACAGATGAGGCTCCAGCCACTCCACTTGGCTCCCTTGTACCATGACATTACACGACACACTCAGGCACCTCCTTTGCCAGACCTGAACCATGTTGGTGTCGCCTGAACACACTGTAACAGGCACTCGGATGGCCGGTGCATGCACAGTTCTGAGCCGAGTGTCACAGCCATATTTTTAAAGTGGAGGTCCAGTTGGAATGAAAAACAATAAAAGTCAGCAGCTACAAAAACTGTACCTGTTGACTTTTAAAAAAATGGACGCTCACCTGTCCCTCGATCCCATGGTGTCATCACACTGGCCGGGTTGATTGACCATCCTGTCTCCTCGGGGCTGCCATCTTCAGTGTGGGCACCCAGCTGTGACAGCTTGCGGCTTCACAGTCGGGTGTCCACTACACATGCGCGAGTAGCGCTGTGCTTTGTGAATGCTCCCATAGTCTTCTGGCACCTGGGCGGGGGGGGGACAACTTTTGCTTCCAATCGTCTAGTCAATTGCAGCGGAAGTGGGAGCGGGTACCTATCAAATTCAAGTACACCCCCCCTCCGCTCCCCAAAGGTGCCAATCCTTAACGGGGGACAATGCCTTAAAGTGGAACTTCCCCTTTTGGGTGGAGCTCCGCTTTAACTACCTGTCGTCTTTAACCTTTCACTGGCATTTACTGGCAGAACAGTGCCCATATTTTATTGGCTGCCAGTAAAATAACTGACGGTTGGCAACACTGCTTAAAGAGTGAACTGCCTATTTGCCTTTAGTAAATAAAGCCCAATGCTGTCCTAGGTGAATTTTAATGATTACCTCTTTTTGTACCGCCCCTTTCTATCATAAAACCATTTAGTAAAACATGATAGAATGTTCTATTTGATGAAGAATGCTGTCACCTTTATATCCACATCCATGGTGTAAACCCCAATCTCACACTTTCTTCCATTCCCCACTTCCCTGAGCTTCTTAAATTATTCATACTTTTTTTTTCTTAGAAGTCCTCAGTATATTACTGTGATAGTCCTTTCCCTCTTTGCCTCTTCTCTGGTGCTTGGTGGTTCCCAAGGATGCACAGAGAGAGTCGCCGATACGATGACATCATCGCTGTTCACTGCATCATCGTACTGTGAGTAGAGAGCATGGTGGTGACACAGACCTCCATGATACACTACACTCTGGAAATGAGATGTACTATTGCTGCCATGCTGTGAAAACTAAAATGGCTGATTGTCCGTTTCAGAAGGACATAATGGCGATTTTAAGAGCATTCCTACTTGAACAGATGGGCTGAATCATTTTTATTCATTCATACAACACCAGCAAATTCCACAGCACTCTACATAGTACATTATTACCATTCCATATCTTACTACTGACAGAGATTAGAATTTATTAGAATTTGAAGTAGATTTAGGCAAATAGGCTGTTCAGCTTTTCGCTAGCTTAGTGAATGAGGTGAAGCTCGGCCGACTTCCATCTTTTAATGTGCAAACAAAAACTCTTTTTTTTCTTTTTATCCGTGCCTGTAATTAGATATTCTTACTAAATAAAAAAAAAAATTAAAAAATCTGTTTGGCGGTCAGCAGGAATTTTATTATTATCATGTACACGAGCAGCTCCTGAACTCGAGTTTAGGAGCTTTTGCCATTTTTTTTTGCCAAAGCTCCTAAACTCAACTCCATAAAAGCCTATGTGTCCATGTACAGTTTTAGGAGCTTCCGTGTTTAGGTGAGGTTAAACCTCCCTCTCCTGAACGCTGAAGAATCGCATTCAGGATAGGAACGTTTTGACTGCGGGGAAAACCCAAAATGCGGAAAAACCGCAGTAAAATCGCGGTACCACAGTTGCCACGATTTTCGTTTTCCCGCAGCCGGCGGTCAGGGTAGGCTCATGTACCATGGAGTCTAGGAGAGGGCAAAAGGCCTTGTGTGCATCAGGTGATTTGGCCCTGCCCACAGGTGGGGGGTATGTGGGCTGGAATCCCCCATTTAAATAAATGATCCCCTAGATATCTGCTTCCTTCTTCCCCTTATGTGAAATAATAAATAATAACACCACACACATTTGAAAAGTATTTTATTTAACCACTTCCTGTCCGGCCCATGTACATAAAATGGCCAGATGGGAGCAGTGCTGGAGCGGGTGGCTGTTTATAAACGTCCTCCCGCATTCCCTGCCTGTGTGCGCTCCCTGGGAGCGCAAGGCACGGCGATCCGGTGCCTGCTATGTCTGTGATCCAATTGCTGTATGGGACTTATGTGTGAGGTCCCGATCATGTGATCACTGATTGTCCGATCAGTGATCACATGAATAGTACTTCCTGACATCATTGCTTACTACTAGTGAAAACTGTTAATGATCAAAGAGGTCACATGGTACAAGGCTATGCACAACAGCCTTGTACCATGTGACAAGCTGTGACTAATCACAGCTCTCACAATATTTCTCAATGGCTGCAAGAATGCAGCCAGAGAGAAGGAGAAATGATTGCTTTTACAGCCTTTATGGGTGTAAAAGCAATCAGTGTAAAAAAAAAAATCTTCATCACCACCCCCCACAAGTGGTAGGATGACAGTATATTAAAAAAAAAAAAACATAAATAATAAAATAAAAAAATAAAATAAAAATGTAAAACATTTTTTTTTTTAAATTATAATTTTTTGGTTATAAACTAATTTGGGTTATTTTTTTTTACTAAAAAAGATAACTGAATACATTTTGGCCAAGATTTATGAAGAAAGATTATTTATTTGCAAAATGTAATAAGAAAAACACCTTTTTTTTCAAAATGTTTGGACTTTTTCATTTATATAGCAAAAAAATAAAAATCCCACCACCAAAATAAAGTTTTATGTGTCTCAAAAGAATGCTACAAAATTCATATGGGTACAGTGTTGCATGATCGCACAATTGTCATTCAAAGTGTGATAGCGCTGGAAGCTGAAAATTGTCCTGGACAGGAAGGGGGTGAGAGTGTCCGGACTTGAAGTGGTTAAACAAAAAAAAAAAAAAGCACCCAATTGTCAGTCACATCAATCAGCTGCATAGATTGAAGTTGGAAAAACCAGATGTGTCAGTGTATTCACTCAGGAATATGGGAGGGGGTCCAATATCTGGAGGCCACCTTTTTCTGAAGGGGCGATTCCAGATTCTGCCTGGAGACCCCACAACCATCAGCTTGAGAAGGAGGATGCTGTCACATTTAGCAATGGTAGTAATACTGCAATTAAATGTTTCACATCCTGCTTCAGCCGAAGGTTTGCCTCAGCCAAACACCCATATAATTCATTCATTTGCGGAACCCCTGAACATGTAAAACTTGGACTTATCATGACAGCCTGACACTATACTATTACTTAAATGCCCTCTTAGTCACTGTGTTGCTGAGCAACTTAGAAAACCCATACACATATGATGACGCCTGTAATAACATCATTTGACTATGCGTATCAGATGGGTAAAAGATTTTTTTTAGGCTCAGTTCACACTAGCTTTGTCAGCAGGCGTCAGACAGGCATTTGGGAAGTGTTTTTGCTCAAAAACCTATGAAAATTCTGCACATGGCAGCACACAGTGCTGTTCACACTGAAGTGTTAGCGTTGCGCCGCAGCAAAACTGATGCCTCGTGTTGAGTAAGGAGGAGTTGAAGCCTGTATTCAAGTCTATAGTGCCGCTCTGCAAACGCCTAGCAGGAATTTGCGGGGCAGTTGCAAGGCGGTTGCGGAGCATTAATACCAGTTAACTTCATAATAGGTGTTTGTGGTGTGGTTTTAACGCTTGGCTAACACCTATCAACTGCCTCAAAACTGCGCACGGGGCATTTTAGGAGCGTTTGAGGAGCGTTAAAAATGCTTCCCAAACACCCGTCTAACTCCTG